GGCAGCTGCCTCGGGGCTCCGTGGAGCTCCAGAGGGCTGTAGTGAAAGCTAGCAAGAATCCTGGGAGCCACCACTTGTGGGGGGCTAACTGTGTGACAGGCATTGACATTAGCGCTTTACCGGACTCAACTCACTTAATATATACACAGCAGGGTGTTTAACAGCGTGGGCCCTGGAGCCCCACAGCCCCGGTTCAAATTCCGGCTCCACCACTCAGTGGTGGTGTAATCGTAGGCAAACGCCTTACCATCTGGGTGCTTAGTTTCCTCCTCTACAAAATGGGGAATGATCCTAGTACCTTCATTGCAGGGGCATCGTAAGGATTAAATAATTCGAACACTGAGACCCAGTCACATAGTAAGTACTCAGTAAATGTTAACTATTGCAATCCCATCGTCATTGCCATTGTGTGTAGTATCCGAGTGTCTGCTTTTTTACTAGACTGCGAGCAGCTCAAAGTCAGGGATCTATTTGTCTCAGCTCTGGACCGCCATGTTTCCAGTCTACAGTAGTCCTTCTCCCTCCTCTTCCTCTTCCTTTTATTACTGTTACTATTATATATTCAGTTTACAGATGAGGAATTAGGGGCTCAGAGAAGTTAAAGGACTTGCCTTAAATCATGTAGCTCATCAGAGCCAGAGCCTGGGTGGAGCCTGGGTCTGGAAGACTCCCGAGCCCTGCTCTTAAACCTTTCGTCAGCACGCCTCCAGACACTGGCTGTTGGCCAAGGCTGGGGCTCATCCTCATCTTAAAACTCATCCAGTCTCTGCACACAGCAGAGGGCTCTTTAGTGTTGCTGATGGATTGAACAACCTCCAGGGCCTTCTCCTTAGAGTGCACCTGAACCCAGGACAGAGCAGCATCTTGGTTTGCTCTGATATGCTTATTTGATGCCGAAAGGGGCCCTTCGAAGACATGGAGCCCCCATGTGTCTGATTTTGTCCCGAGGGTCAGGCTGCAGTCATTCTCATCACTTCTGATCTGCATGTTGAACTACAGGCACCCTCCTGAGACCAGGGCTCCTGGAAGCCAGAGAGCAGTCCAGAATAAGATTCAGCTGCAACAGAAGAACAGTACATTTCTGTTAGATATTTTCTTGCTCTTTTTCTCTCAAGGTTTTTTGCCTTGGAACCCCTGTTGTAAATGCTGTCGAGTGATTATCATGGGGATGATTCAGCACTTTACAATTTATTCATTCAGCATGCCTTTATCGTAACCGTGGAATTAATAGTTACCAGTGTTTAGCATTACTGTATTCCAGGCACTGTGCTAATAAGCACCTTATGTACATTATCTCATTTACTTCTCATAACAACCCCAGAAGGTAGGTAGTATCTCCAGTTTGTGGTAAGAAAACTGAAGCTCCAGAGAGGTTAAGGAACTTAACCTCTTAACACCGCTTATAAGTGACAAAGCCAAAACTTGAACCCAGGGCTGCCTGACATCAAAGCCTAGTCTCTTTCTATTACCTCCTGCTTGGAAGGGCATCCTGAAGAAGCTCCATGATGATGTCGGTTTAGGGAGTTGCTTCTGGAGGCTTCAACATTCACGATTTTTGTGCATATAAAATGGAAAAAAATGTCTGAGGTGTCGGAGGGAAGCAGCAACTGCAAATATATCTGAGAACTTGTAGGAAGCAAAAATAGTCGATGGAAAACCAGGCTTGCAAAACTCAGATAAGCAACTGGCCTTTACGAACAGAGGTGTGCAGCAGAACAGTAAAAATGACTCATATCTGGGCTCGATTCAGAGATATACTTGGAGGCTCTATCTGTGAAAAGAGGGTGTAAATTGGAATTTACAGCACAGCTTTGCAAATGTACCAATGCGTCCACTCGCAGGGAGCAGGAGAGAGGCTATTGCTTGTGCAAGCAAGGAGTGCACCCAGCTAATCTGCTGTGGTCTCCCCCCACGTTCTATAAAGATTGACGAGGGATATGGAGATGCATGGCACGCGGTCCCGTCCCTCAGGGAGCACTGGAAGCCCAAGTACTTGGCACCTGAACAAGAGCTGTGCCCTTTCATCCACCAGAGAGCGGTGATGGAGGATTGTGTACCCCCTTTCACAGACCAAGGAATAGGGAGGTGAAGTGAGTTACCGGAGGCCACCCAGCCACTCTGTAGAAACCAGCAGAGAGTTGCGCCTCTCTTGGCCCATCTCTGTTTCGTTCACCACTGTATTCCCGACACCCGGTTTACTGGACCTGGCACTCAGGAAATGCTGAATGAGTGAACTAGAGTTTCCCTCTCAAGATAGGAGTCCAAATTGGAGAGGGGGAAGGGGAGAAAAGAAGGACCCTCTATGTCTGTCCCCTCTATCCTCCCTCTTGGCATTAGGGGCAGAGGGGAGACTCCAGTCAGACCAGAGGAGACAATTGCTCCTTAGGAAGGTCATGTCTCTTTTTTGGGGTCGTGAGTCCCCAAAAAGCACTGGACAGAGCTTTTCCATGGGAACCTGGGAAACCTCAAAGTCCCCTTTCCTAGCGTTCTCAGCATGCAAGGGGTAGGGAAGGGGGACAAAGGACCCACCTGAAGCATCCGGGTGAGTCAGTAAAGGGCTGTATAGGCCCGTGCTCTAGAGAGCCCAGGGAGATCTGCTATGACTTTTTGCGCACAAATGTCCTCCACATTAGGTTTGTTCTCTTGGATAGACTGCCCAAGCCATTCACAAGAGCCGTTTGCTCAATAAACCTGTATTGAGCACCTGGTCAGTTGTAGGACCTGTGATCACCAGCACGGAGGGAATAGGGATTTTTATACCTACCAGAAGAGGCAAGATGGGGATATAAGTATGCCAACTGTAAGGAGAAGGAAAAGATGAGTGGTCCAGGTTACTGGCTGTTAGCATTCAATGAAGGAAAAAAGAACTTTGGGGAGGGTAGATCAAGGAAGGCTTTCTGGAGGAGTTATCAGTTGAGCTGAGCTTTAAAAAATAGAGAGGATTCAGACCAGGACATTCCTTATCCTCATAGGAGAATTTCCTTTTAGAAGTTAGTTTTTTAGATCTATGACCAGTGGTCTTATATTTTAAAATCTCATTATTTCAGGATTCTCGGCAGTGGTTCTAAAGACTTACCAGAGCCTGGCATCCCCACTTAGTCACAAAGCAGAGGTCTGTAGGCTTGCAGGCCAGCCTGTCCTGACCCAGACCTCAGATGCTTGCCGTCTGTACAGAGGGGGGGTTTCCTGCCTTCGGCCATGGACTGAGACAGTTGAGCTGGTGTCTGTGTTTGATGCAAAGGCATCATGATTTGGTAGACAGAATTCAGGCTTTGGATTAATAAGGACTGCTTCGTAGTTCTGCAAACCTCAGCTTCCTAGTCTATGAAGTGGGACTGATGATACTACTGCCCTCTGGGGGTTGTTGTGAGCATTCGCACAGTTCAGGCTGTAAAAGGACCCATAGAAGATGCTCACCGCAGCACCTATCAGTGTCAGTTAGGTAAACATGCCATGAGGAGGTTGACTCCGGGGGGGTCGGGGGAGGGGCATGGAGCAAGGGCTAGATCATCCTCTCTGCTGGCCTTCTGGTAAGCACTGGACAGTAGTGGTCCGGTCCCTCTCACTGCTTCGGTGCCCTGGCCTGCAGCCAGCAGCCTGAAAGTCCAAGGGTAGGAGGGACACTCAGCCAGCCCAGGAGGCTGCTTCTGCTGCTGGCTTCTGTCCCAGGCTCCAAATGTCTCCATTAAAGTGCTGCCTGAGGACATAAACAAATGGCCCTGCTATTCTCACCTTCTCCCTGGTCCAAGGCTGTCTGCTGTCTGCCTGTTTTGGCTCCCATGCTCTCTTCTCTCCCCTCCCATTAAGGGACACCCCTGCTGGCACAGCATGGCACATCTTCAGAAGGCACCACGCACACTCCTGGGGACCGTCCTCATTGGAAATGAGGTTTCAGCCCCTACATCGCTGCAGCAGACCTCTTGGCCTTTGGGGGAAAGTTGTGGCGGGAGCGGAGAGGAGAGGGAGGACTGGAAAGACAGGCGTAGGTCACATTCTGAAGGGCTTGCTGGACGCTGTGTGGGCTTTATCCTAAAATCGGGTTTTCATCTATAAATCTGAGATAATAATACCTATTGTTCCAAGTAGCTGAAGGGAGTAAATAAAAGATTTATTGCAATTCCCTTGTCTGTAAAGTGGGGAGAATAATAGCACCTGCTCTGCAGTGGGTCATGAGGATCAGCTGAATTTAAACATGTAAAGGGCTCAGAATGGTGCCAGGCACATAGGAAGTGCTCAGTAAATGTTAATGGTAGTTTTTAATAACCCCCAGGTGGTTTTTAATTGGGCTCACTCCCTTTACTCAAAGTTCACCTCCTACCCCCTACCCAGGCCATCACTGACCACTTAGCCTAAAATTTCACCATTGACCCCACACACCCAGGCCATTGGCCCCTTCCTGGTTTTATGTGTTCTCTGATTTATCAGCACCTCTGTAAACTATGTATTTTACTTATCTTGTTTGTTTCATTTACTATGTACCATTATAGATAGTTAGGGTTTCTCAACTTTTAGCATCCATTGGAATCACCGGGAGTTTGTGAAATGAGATTGCTGGGGCCCACCCAAGTGTTCATGATTCAGTAAGCCTGGGGCAGGGCCCAGGAATTTTCACTTCTTACAAATTCCCAAGTGGTGTTGAAGCTGCTGGTCTGGGACTACACTTTGAAAAACGCCGTCCCCAAAATATCAAAGAAACGGGGCAAAGTGGGTGATGTCAGAGGCTAGTTTTTTTTTTATCTTGTTTATTGTGTCTCTCTTTTCGAGTTTAAGTTTCACGAGACAGGGATTTTGTCCGCTTTGTTCGTTGATGTGTCCCTAGCACCGAAAATAGTAGGAGCTCAATTAAGTATCTGTCCAGTAGCCCGCCGTCTCCCGACCTCATGGACACGCACGACCCGCCGCGCCCGTTGCCGCCCGGCTGCTCCCGCGTGGCCCTGGGGCCCGGCCGTGGCCGTGGCGGTGGCTCGGGGCCCCGCTGACCGTGCGTGTTTGTGCCCTAGATCACCCGGGCGGCCTGCAGAACCACCCGCGCCTCCGGACGCCGCCGCCGCCGCTCTCGCACGCCCACACCCCCAACCAGCACCACGCGGCCTCCATCAACTCCCTGAACCGGGGCAACTTCACTCCGAGGAGCAACCCCAGCCCGGCCCCCACGGACCCCTCGCTCTCGGGAGAGCCCCCCGCTGGCAGCGCCCAGGAGCCGGCCCACGCCCAGGACAACTGGCTGCTCAACAGCAACATCCCCCTGGAGACCAGGTGCGGGGCTGGGGCGCGGGCGGGGCTGAGCCGCAGGGGCGGCGGGGCCCTTCCGGGGGTCCCCTGCCTCCCTGGTCTGGGAGGCTGGGGTCGGGGCAATGCTCGGAGAGGTGGCTCTGGGCTGGCCTGGGGAAGGGGAGAAGGGCGGTGGCGGGAGGGGCGCGGGGCAGGAAGAGCCGGCGCTTGCGAATCCAGCAGCCCCCAGGTTCGGGCTGGCCTGCCGCAGACGAAGGTATGAGCCCTCTGTGCCTTTTCCTGGTCTGTGCAGTGGGGATGCTGCTGGCCGGAGGGGCCGCTATAATCGTGGATGAGAGCTGAGTGTGTAAAGGTGGCAGAGAGCAGACCCTTGGTCAGCGTTTGATGGCGGCCCACACCTCTGCCTTTCCCTACTGGGATCTGCTCCCCCTCCTCTCCACTCCTCTCCCTTCCCCTCGCCTCCCAGGGACTTATCTCCTTTATGCCCCAAACCCTATAATCCCTAACACTGATACATCATCAGCTAACTTTTAGTTACAAGAGCTTTCATACTTGAGATATGATGTCATTCTCACAGCTTCACGAAGAAGGCGGTATTGTGATTTGTGACCCCATTTGGGAGTTTCACAGAGAGGGTCAGTGACTAGCTCAGGTCACATGGACACTGGATGTGTGGCTACGATGTGAACTCAGGTTGCGAGACTCGTGGGCAGTGCTATTTCCTACACCACCTCCACCTTCTCCAGGTCTCCCCTGGCCTGGCCCCCTCCTCCTCTGCCTTCTTCCAGCCTCACAGTGCTTCCTTTAGGGGTTTCCGTCAGGGTCAGTTCCATAGCTGTCCTTCTTCCCTCTGGTGAGCCACTGTTTTCCCAAAATGGAAATGAGTTGTTTTCTTTTTTAAATAATTATAAAGGCATACAAGCTCACTGCAGAAAATGCAGAAAGATATAAAAACGAAAACTAGATTCACCCATAATCCCACCACTCTGAGAGAAGCACTGTTGACTTCGGGGGACAGAGCCTTTCCCTACCTTCTCTAACGCTGAAATGCCCCAGGCAACACGATTTGAACCTCCTCACCTTCTACCCTATCTCTCAAAGTAGCGGGGAAACCTAGATTTTATTTTCTCAAACTCCTCTTCGTGATCTGTGGAGAGGACAGAAGCCATCCCACATTTAAAGATGTGAAATTAATCTATCCATGGAAAGTGCACCCACCTGACTCTATCTGGCACATGGCTGTGATAGTTGCACATCGAGTGGGTGGGATCCAGTGAAAGAAAATCAACATCCTTTTGTGCCATCTTATGTTTTACTCCTGTGGAATCAGTTTTTCCAGAAGCAAATTTCTCAGAGATACAGTCCAGCTTGCCTCACCCCCAGTCTCTTAATATTATTCTGTTGACATCCTTTACAATCAGGTGTGAGTTGTCCTGTGCCTCCTTCGCTCTCCTCAGTGAGAGAGTTGCATCATCCCACCCAGGGTAGCTTAATCAGATCTCCATTATTTCCAGGGTGCTTATTGAATGACTGCACGTGGCTAAGAGAAGCCAGCAAATAATCGATGGTTCTGATTCTTTGCATGGAACCCAGTAGCCACTCCCTCCTCTTGGATGTTCATTTTTCTCACTTAGGAGCAAAGTAGGTGGTTCTCCGGGTTTTTCAAGGGAGAGGAAGATAGAGGCCAAGCAGCAGGTGTTTTCCTGATGGCTAGCGTGAGATGCCGAGGTGGTCCCAGCTGACCTCTCTTGCTTCATCAGCCAGCTGACACCTGCCTTTCTGACCTTCTGTCCTCCCACACCCATGCATAGACCACAGGGAACTTTGTTTTCTTTTATGCTTTATCACTCAAGTAATAAATGTTCTGCAGAACACTTAGGAACAAAGAAAAAATCACGTATATCTACCACCAAATGGTAACCATTGTTAACATGCTGGCATGTATCTGCTCATCTGTACTCTTTTATATAAGTCCGTACAGATATAATTATATACATACTGAATGTTCAGTATGTGTACATGTATAGGCGTATACATCTCTGTGGATCAGTCTTCCCCCAGATGCCCATCCCTTTCATCCCCCATGCCTTTGCACATGCTCTCGTACAGCGCTCTGCCAGAGTTGCCCTCGTCCTCACTTCTGGGTCTTGCAAAGTCCTACCTATTCTTAAAAACCCAGAAGAAATGTTGGAGATGGGCCTTCTCTGGGACCCCAGAGTTCTGTGCATCTGAAGATGGCTTAAAACTGGGAGAGGTGCTTGATACAATGGATAACACAGAGTACTGGACCTTAATACTGACCTTTACTGGTTGGTGGCACAAAACCAACAACGTTTAAGAGAGATCAGTGTCACATCTGGCAGATGGAATCACAGGTAATTTTGACCAGCGTGGTGACGTAAGGAAGAGAGCAGACTTTAGAGTCAGGAGACCTGGATTCTTGTCTTGGCTTTAGCACATCCTGGCCCGGCAAGTTCATTTATAGCCCTGAACCTTGATTTCCCTGTGTAATGTGGGATAAGAATTCATGCCTCTCAGACTGGGGGGAAGTGAATGAAATATCATGTAAGAAACATAAAGCACAGTGCCTGGCATGAAAAGACATACTATAAAAATGATTTCCCATTTTTTTCATACGTATCTACTTCCCATATCAACCCTGTGAAGAAAAAAAGTCACAAAAAAATACTCATTGGGCTCCTACTCACCAGAGGAGTTGAGAGGAAATAGCAGGTTGTACCTTTTCTCCACTTTGGAGAAGGAAGTTTGGTCCTGATGTTCTGAGAACATAAGTGATGGTCCTTTCGCTGAAGCTACTTGTTCATATCACAGGATTTAGGGTCAGACATCCTGTGCTCCAATCCCCACCCCATTGCTCACTAGCTGTGGACCTAGACCTTACATTTCTTCATCTCTAAAAGGGAGAAAATATTAGTAACTTCCTGTTGTGATTATCTCTTGCTGCATAACAAATGCCTGTCAAACTTGGTGGCTTAAAAAAACCACCAGTTGATTATACTTCGCCGTGTGAGGCAGGAGCTCAGGAAGAGCTAGCTGGGCCAGTCTCCCCGTGGTGTCAGTGGGGGTCAGTCAGCGGCGTTAGCTGTTAGCTGGGCAGTCTGAAAGAGCCAGGGTGGCCTTACTCACATGCCGGAGCCTTGCAGAAGACGGTTGGGTAGCTGGGCTCAGTGGCCCCTCACCCTCTACTGTGGTCTCAGGGCCTCTCCACCAAGTCTTCCCAGCGGGGAGTGGACTTCATACTCCGTGGCTTGGAGCTCCATGGCACTGTGACAGAAGCCACTGATCCTCTTTAAGGCTTGGCCTGGAATGATATAGCGTCCCTTCTGCCATTGTTCTGTTGGCCAAAGCAGTCCTAGGCCAGCCAGCTTCCAGGAGAGGAACAACAGACCCCACTTCTCAAAGGGAGAGGTGCCCAAGGATTTTCAGCCACTTCCAACCCACCGTAGTGCCTCCTGAGGCTCCTGTAGCGATTATATACGATACTGTCTGCAAATGTCTTGGCACACAGTACGTGCTCAACTGCTTACCATGTAGTGCTTGTCCTTCAGTAAATACTCACTGAGTGCCTACTGTGTGCCCAGCAGGCAGTATGTGTAAGAGCACAGACTCTTGTGGTGGGACAAATGCTATGATAGAGATACACACAGTGAATCAGTTTTAATGCCTCTGGATTTTCGGCAGGCAACACGGCTTGCCACATGATGGGTGCTGGAAAACTACTAACGCAGGCTAAATGAATGAATGACGGAGCAAATGAATAAAAAGCTATGCATAACTTGAGTGGGCCAAAGGGAAGACTTCCCAGTGGGCCTGGTGCCATGGGACTGACAGCAAGTAGGAGTCCCCAGGGGGAGCTGGGAAGAAGGAAGGGCATGAGGGCTGCACAGCCTCATCGAAGGCCTAGAAGCCCAAGAGAGCAGGGCCTAGTTGAGGTGGTTTGTTGTCAACAGCTATTACCAAGCCCCACGAGAATGGGGAGCCCCCTGATGCCAGAGAAACTGTCACAGGCCCTTCTCTAATTGTCAAACTGAGTCGTGTGGAGAGTCAAAAGTAAATAGCTGAGCAAATAGCATAAGAGCTGGCAGAATAACCAGGAGGGGTTGAGATTTCATGTTGGAAGGAAAGAAGGGCAGGGAGGACAAGCGAGAGGGAGGACCTGCTTAACCCACTGCCTCTGGCCCTCTCCAGGGGTAATGGAGTCCGCAGGGGGAAGACCGGGCCTCCCTGTGCTTCCTAGAGCAGGGGTCACATGTTGCCTTGAGGCCTGCAGGTGCATCTGTGGCCAATCTTGGTGGGATCCATGTGTTCAGGGTCCACTAAACCCTGGTCCACTTCTTCACGCTCTGCAACATCAAATGCTTAATTGATTTCATAGGGATTGTCTGATTAATAACCTGTCGGGCTCCTGTCAGATGAAGGGGAAGCCAGGGCGCAAGTCTGCCAGACCCCTGCTTTAGGTCATCTGATCCCAGGCCTGGTTTGGGAGCCTGAGGCCCATTTTGTGGTCCTGCTCAATTTGGGGAATAGCCCTGCCCACCCCTCAGGGATGGGAGGCCGTCCTGGTGGTCACCAACCCAGGCTTGGTATAGTTCCCAGAATAGCACACAGCACCTTCTAGTGGGCCAGGCCAACTCCTAAGCATTGCAGGAAATTGGGACGGACAGTCGTCCCTGTCGTCTGGTGATTCAGTCATAGGCCTGCAGAAAACACAACCACAGTCCAAGAAGAAGCTCATGGCCTTGTAAGGAAGACAGACCCATAAGTGAATGAGTAAAGATGGCACTCTGGATAATACTGTGACTCGTGGGGTGAGGGGGGATGCTCTGAGCAGAGAGGAGGGTGTGGCTCCCTCTGCATGGGGGCATCAAGGAACAATCATACCAAGCACTCATGGGGCCTTTACTGGGGCTCCGTAGAGGGAAGCTCGTCAGACTGAGCACCCAGGGTTTCTACTGGGGGCTGGTCACACCGGCACCTCCTACCTGGCAAAGGCCCAAATTCCA